TCGAAAGATTGAACCGAGTTCTTTATATTTTTGAATCGATGGCAGTGGCAAAACTGTCTGTCCAAAGATCAGCTACGTTAATACGGATTTCAGCTTATGATAACAGACAGACCTGTTTGTAAGCCAGTCATGGTATGTACCGTGACGTTGCTAATAGTGTGAATCTTTTGTAGCTGCCTAGAGCAACGTGGAATTACACCAAACGGTCGTATGGATGATAACGGTGTAGCAAAAAATCGGATTACGTTCATACATGGGATTAGAAGGACGAATTGTTTTGCACGTCAACGGTAATTATCGTGAGATCAGAAACAGTTTGAACCGCTTTTAACTACCTAGAGCAACGTAGAATCGCACCGAACAATCGTATGGAAGAGGATGGTATAGCACAAAACCGGATTTTGTTCAAACATGTGATTGCGAAAAAGAATTGTTCAGTGGCGCCAACGGATGTATATCGCGTGCTTGCAAATGATGTGTCCTGTTTGTTGCCAGCTAGGCCAGCACGAAACAGCTCCATTCTTCATGATGGAATGTTCTAGAACTGACCAGCTAATATCCATGGAAATATATGACCGGTATTGTATGATATCATATTCAAGCCCGCTTATCTACGGTCGTAGATTGAATTGCTTACTTTTGTTACTTAAATTAAGCCAAATAAATTTTCAGTCATTTCATTCGATTTAATTTTTCAGCCTTTTTACCAGATTTTTAAAGGCTATAGTCAGGTTTTTTTCCAAAAAATGACTTTTTTTAAAGGTTGTTCAGATGACCACTATTTTGCTGAGCGAGTAAAATCTCGAAAGATTGAACCGAGTTCTTTATATTTTTGAATCGATGGCAGTGGCAAAACTGTCTGTCCAAAGATCAGCTACGTTAATACGGATTTCAGCTTATGATAACAGACAGACCTGTTTGTAAGCCAGTCATGGTATGTACCGTGACGTTGCTAATAGTGTGAATCTTTTGTAGCTGCCTAGAGCAACGTGGAATTACACCAAACGGTCGTTTGGATGATAACGGTGTAGCAAAAAATCGGATTACGTTTATACATGGGATTAGAAGGACGAATTGTTTTGCACGTCAACGGTAATTATCGTGAGATCAGAAACAGTTTGAACCGCTTTTAACTACCTAGAGCAACGTAGAATCGCACTGAACAATCGTATGAAAGAGGATGGTATAGCACAAAACCGGATTTTGTTCAAACATGTGATTGCGAAAAAGAATTGTTCAGTGGCGCCAACGGATGTATATCGCGTGCTTGCAAATGATGTGTCCTGTTTGTGGCCAGCTAGGCCAGCACGAAACAGCTCCATTCTTCATGATGGAATGTTCTAAAACTGACCAGCTAATATCCATGGAAATATATGACCGTTATTGTATGATATCATATTCAAGCCCGCTTATCTACGGTCGTAGATTGAATTGCTTACTTTTGTTACTTAAATTAAGCCGAATAAATTTTCAGTCATTTCATTCGATTTAACTTTTCAGCCTTTTTACCAGATTTTTAAAGGCTATAGTCAGGTTTTTTTCCAAAAAATGACTTTTTTTAAAAGTTGTTCAGATGACCACTATTTTGCTGAGCGAGTAAAATCTCGAAAGACTGAACCGAGTTCTTTATATTTTTGAATCGATGGCAGTGGCAAAACTGTCTGTCCAAAGATCAGTTACGTTAATACGGATTTCAGCTTATGATAACAGACAGAACTGTTTGTAAGCCAGTCACGGTATGTACCGTGAGGTTGCTAATAGTGTGAATCTTTTGTAGCTGCCTAGAGCAACGTGGAATTACACCAAACGGTCGTATGGATGATAACGGTGTAGCAAAAAATCGGATTACGTTCATACATGGGATTAGAAGGACGAATTGTTTTGCACGTCAACGGTAATTATCGTGAGATCAGAAACAGTTTGAACCGCTTTTAACTACCTAGAGCAACGTAGAATCGCACCGAACAATCGTATGGAAGAGGATGGTATAGCACAAAACCGGATTTTGTTCAAACATGTGATTGCGAAAAAGAATTGTTCAGTGGCGCCAACGGATGTATATCGCGTGCTTGCAAATGATGTGTCCTGTTTGTGGCCAGCTAGGCCAGCACGAAACAGCTCCATTCTTCATGATGGAATGTTCTAGAACTGACCAGCTAATATCCATGGAAATATATGACCGTTATTGTATGATATCATATTCAAGCCCGCTTATCTACGGTCGTAGATTGAATTGCTTACTTTTGTTACTTAAATTAAGCCAAATAAATTTTCAGTCATTTCATTCGATTTAACTTTTCAGCCTTTTTACCAGATTTTTAAAGGCTATAGTCAGGTTTTTTTCAAAAAATGACTTTTTTTAAAGTTGTTCAGATGACCACTATTTTGCTGAGCGAGTGAAATCTCGAAAGACTGAACCGAGTTCTTTATATTTTTGAATCGATGGCAGTGGCAAAACTGTCTGTCCAAAGATCAGTTACGTTAATACGGATTTCAGCTTATGATAACAGACAGAACTGTTTGTAAGCCAGTCACGGTATGTACCGTGAGGTTGCTAATAGTGTGAATCTTTTGTAGCTGCCTAGAGCAACGTGGAATTACACCAAACGGTCGTATGGATGATAACGGTGTAGCAAAAAATCGGATTACGTTCATACATGGGATTAGAAGGACGAATTGTTTTGCACGTCAACGGTAATTATCGTGAGATCAGAAACAGTTTGAACCGCTTTTAACTACCTAGAGCAACGTAGAATCGCACCGAACAATCGTATGGAAGAGGATGGTATAGCACAAAACCGGATTTTGTTCAAACATGTGATTGCGAAAAAGAATTGTTCAGTGGCGCCAACGGATGTATATCGCGTGCTTGCAAATGATGTGTCCTGTTTGTGGCCAGCTAGGCCAGCACGAAACAGCTCCATTCTTCATGATGGAATGTTCTAGAACTGACCAGCTAATATCCATGGAAATATATGACCGTTATTGTATGATATCATATTCAAGCCCGCTTATCTACGGTCGTAGATTGAATTGCTTACTTTTGTTACTTAAATTAAGCCAAATAAATTTTCAGTCATTTCATTCGATTTAACTTTTCAGCCTTTTTACCAGATTTTTAAAGGCTATAGTCAGGTTTTTTTCAAAAAATGACTTTTTTTAAAAGTTGTTCAGATGACCACTATTTTGCTGAGCGAGTGAAATCTCGAAAGACTGAACCGAGTTCTTTATATTTTTGAATCGATGGCAGTGGCAAAACTGTCTGTCCAAAGATCAGTTACGTTAATACGGATTTCAGCTTATGATAACAGACAGAACTGTTTGTAAGCCAGTCACGGTATGTACCGTGAGGTTGCTAATAGTGTGAATCTTTTGTAGCTGCCTAGAGCAACGTGGAATTACACCAAACGGTCGTATGGATGATAACGGTGTAGCAAAAAATCGGATTACGTTCATACATGGGATTAGAAGGACGAATTGTTTTGCACGTCAACGGTAATTATCGTGAGATCAGAAACAGTTTGAACCGCTTTTAACTACCTAGAGCAACGTAGAATCGCACCGAACAATCGTATGGAAGAGGATGGTATAGCACAAAACCGGATTTTGTTCAAACATGTGATTGCGAAAAGAATTGTTCAGTGGCGCCAACGGATGTATATCGCGTGCTTGCAAATGATGTGTCCTGTTTGTGGCCAGCTAGGCCAGCACGAAACAGCTCCATTCTTCATGATGGAATGTTCTAGAACTGACCAGCTAATATCCATGGAAATATATGACCGTTATTGTATGATATCATATTCAAGCCCGCTTATCTACGGTCGTAGATTGAATTGCTTACTTTTGTTACTTAAATTAAGCCAAATAAATTTTCAGTCATTTCATTCGATTTAACTTTTCAGCCTTTTTACCAGATTTTTAAAGGCTATAGTCAGGTTTTTTTCAAAAAATGACTTTTTTTAAAAGTTGTTCAGATGACCACTATTTTGCTGAGCGAGTGAAATCTCGAAAGACTGAACCGAGTTCTTTATATTTTTGAATCGATGGCAGTGGCAAAACTGTCTGTCCAAAGATCAGTTACGTTAATACGGATTTCAGCTTATGATAACAGACAGAACTGTTTGTAAGCCAGTCACGGTATGTACCGTGAGGTTGCTAATAGTGTGAATCTTTTGTAGCTGCCTAGAGCAACGTGGAATTACACCAAACGGTCGTATGGATGATAACGGTGTAGCAAAAAATCGGATTACGTTCATACATGGGATTAGAAGGACGAATTGTTTTGCACGTCAACGGTAATTATCGTGAGATCAGAAACAGTTTGAACCGCTTTTAACTACCTAGAGCAACGTAGAATCGCACCGAACAATCGTATGGAAGAGGATGGTATAGCACAAAACCGGATTTTGTTCAAACATGTGATTGCGAAAAGAATTGTTCAGTGGCGCCAACGGATGTATATCGCGTGCTTGCAAATGATGTGTCCTGTTTGTGGCCAGCTAGGCCAGCACGAAACAGCTCCATTCTTCATGATGGAATGTTCTAGAACTGACCAGCTAATATCCATGGAAATATATGACCGTTATTGTATGATATCATATTCAAGCCCGCTTATCTACGGTCGTAGATTGAATTGCTTACTTTTGTTACTTAAATTAAGCCAAATAAATTTTCAGTCATTTCATTCGATTTAACTTTTCAGCCTTTTTACCAGATTTTTTAAAGGCTATAGTCAGGTTTTTTTCAAAAAATGACTTTTTTTAAAAGTTGTTCAGATGACCACTATTTTGCTGAGCGAGTGAAATCTCGAAAGATTGAACCGAGTTCTTTATATTTTTGAATCGATGGCAGTGGCAAAACTGTCTGTCCAAAGATCAGTTACGTTAATACGGATTTCAGCTTATGATAACAGACAGAACTGTTTGTAAGCCAGTCACGGTATGTACCGTGAGGTTGCTAATAGTGTGAATCTTTTGTAGCTGCCTAGAGCAACGTGGAATTACACCAAACGGTCGTATGGATGATAACGGTGTAGCAAAAAATCGGATTACGTTCATACATGGGATTAGAAGGACGAATTGTTTTGCACGTCAACGGTAATTATCGTGAGATCAGAAACAGTTTGAACCGCTTTTAACTACCTAGAGCAACGTAGAATCGCACCGAACAATCGTATGGAAGAGGATGGTATAGCACAAAACCGGATTTTGTTCAAACATGTGATTGCGAAAAAGAATTGTTCAGTGGCGCCAATGGATGTAAATCGCGTGCTTGCAAATGATGTGTCCACTTCGTGGCCAGCTGGGCCAGCACGAAACAGCTCCATTCTTCATGATGGAATGTTCCAGAACTGACCAGCTAATATCCATGGAAATATATGACCGTTATTGTATGATATCATATTCAAGCCCGCTTATCTACGGTCGTAGATTGAATTGCTTACTTTTGTTACTTAAATTAAGCCAAATAAATTTTCAGTCATTTCATTCGATTTAATTTTTCAGCCTTTTTACCAGATTTTTAAAGGCTATAGTCAGGTTTTTTCAAAAAATGACTTTTTTTAAAAGTTGTTCAGATGACCACTATTTTGCTGAGCGAGTGAAATCTCGAAAGACTGAACCGAGTTCTTTATATTTTTGAATCGATGGCAGTGGCAAAACTGTCTGTCCAAAGATCAGTTACGTTAATACGGATTTCAGCTTATGATAACAGACAGAACTGTTTGTAAGCCAGTCACGGTATGTACCGTGAGGTTGCTAATAGTGTGAATCTTTTGTAGCTGCCTAGAGCAACGTGGAATTACACCAAACGGTCGTATGGATGATAACGGTGTAGCAAAAAATCGGATTACGTTCATACATGGGATTAGAAGGACGAATTGTTTTGCACGTCAACGGTAATTATCGTGAGATCAGAAACAGTTTGAACCGCTTTTAACTACCTAGAGCAACGTAGAATCGCACCGAACAATCGTATGGAAGAGGATGGTATAGCACAAAACCGGATTTTGTTCAAACATGTGATTGCGAAAAAGAATTGTTCAGTGGCGCCAACGGATGTATATCGCGTGCTTGCAAATGATGTGTCCTGTTTGTGGCCAGCTAGGCCAGCACGAAACAGCTCCATTCTTCATGATGGAATGTTCTAGAACTGACCAGCTATCCATGGAAATATATGACCGTTATTGTATGATATCATATTCAAGCCCGCTTATCTACGGTCGTAGATTGAATTGCTTACTTTTGTTACTTAAATTAAGCCAAATAAATTTTCAGTCATTTCATTCGATTTAACTTTTCAGCCTTTTACCCAGATTTTTTAAAGGCTATAGTCAGGTTTTTTCAAAAAATGACTTTTTTAAAAGTTGTTCAGATGACCACTATTTTGCTGAGCGAGTGAAATCTCGAAAGACTGAACCGAGTTCTTTATATTTTTGAATCGATGGCGGTGGCAAAACTGTCTGTCCAAAGATCAGTTACGTTAATACGGATTTCTAAGCTTATGATAACGACAGAACTGTTTGTAAAGCCAGTC